TACACGAAGTAATAACAATAGTTTATTTATTTATAAAGACGTTCTCGTTGATGGATTTGGCGACGTTTTCATCGTTGAAACGGAAGCGCATATTAATAACAATAGTGTATTGATAAAGACGTTCTCATCGCTGGATTTGGTGACGCTTTCATCATTGAAACAGGTACACATATTGATAACAATAGTGTATTTATAAAGACGTTCTCGCCGCTGGATTTGGTGACGCTTTCATCATTGAAACAGGAACACACTGATGACACGATGCCGGCCCCTCGCCACGACGTAGTCTTCTTCTTCTTCAGTTAGCAGCGTTTTCAAGATGTTGTCACTCCCCGGCGCGCGCGATCCAAAAGACCGATGCGCTCGCTGGAGTGACAGATATAACCACGGTTAACGCATGCGCAGTGATACCGATTAAACACATGCGCATTAAAGACGAAACCGTATGCGCGGCGACCAATCAAAACGCCTGTTTTAATGTGCTGGTTATTCATATTCTATATGTAATCAATTTTCTAGTATAAATAACTGTAAATATTTTCAATAAAACATTCCTGGAACAAGTGAAAAGTCTATTATTCTCTCCATACGTCTCAACGCTTAAAGATGTTTTATTTGTAACGTTTAATAAACAATTCCAATATTTTTAAATGGTTTAATTATTTTTTCTTTAAAAATAGGTACCTATCTAGATATAATATTATATTCTTTGACATCGAAATATCAAAAGTCCTATTTCCTCTTGGTTAATTTGTAGATTATTTTAAAAAACCAAAGGTTTTATTACAAAATCACTAAACCCTTATTTTTGAGTGTTTTTAACCTTTTAGTAATAGCACTCAATTTTTCAAAATTTTAAATGTATGTAGTAGGAAGACGAAGTATATGCATTTGAAAGTATTAGATGTTTAATAGAATACCTCACTCTTAATATACTTGTCTCCAATATCAACGAAACGAGGATTCAGACTCAGCTCAAAGCAGTTAACCAGCTGCCTTGCAGTTTAATGACATCCAGTAAAGGCAGTAGCCAGTAGGACCTTAACAATTACAATTAGGTGTAATATAAAGAAATATTGATTATTATTATTTTACCAATGCTGATCTACACGAGAAAGTAAAATATTTTACACCATAAAGTCATTTTAGCCGATTTTTAGCTCCGATTCTGTTTCGAAATCAGTGGCGGATTTACAAATTTGCCGCTAGTAGGCCATTCAACTTTTGCCGCCCCTCCTGAGTTTTGAAATTCAATCCGTTAGTTTAATCCCGTTATTTAGTATGATTGTGAACTTAATGATATTTCTGTCAGTTACTAGATTATTTTTGCAACCCACTATGCACTGAAGAGTTTAATGTTGACCTAACAAGTTTTTTTGACAGGCAAAATAAAAAAAAACCGACTTTAAAGCGTAAAACCTCTGTAACTTTTAAACGGCTCAATAGATTTTCATCAAACATGTCTAAGAACACTCGCCTAGTTACACATCTTAATCCATCCTAGCTAAATTTTTTTTGAATATCTTTAATGTACAGACTATTTTAAGTTAACGATTTTATTATAGTATAGATTATGTACACGTATAATTATAAAAAAAAAGAATTTGCTAAATTTTGCCGCCCCCCTAAATATACCGCGCTACTTGTAAATCCGCCACTGTTCGAAATACAGAAAATAGAATTGCTACAAAAGACTCTTGCTGGTAACTTTTATTTTAATGTATGAATAAATATAAATAACAATTAAGAATACTTTATTCATGACAAAAATATTACACAGGTAGTGTTTTTCTCACAAGTAGTGTTCAATCCTTTGTAAGCGGGATAAATTCCGAATACTTTTACAAAAATTGGAAAATAAAATAATAATAATATTCGTTATAATCAGCTTCTCCTTTCATATAAAAACCCAATTGAATGATATCCTGCCGATATTTTTTATAGCTGTAACATATTTAATAGACATATTAACATTTCTACTTATTCCATGATAGCAGCCTGTTTACTAGAGGGCGCTACGGTGACTAGAAACGTCCGAGTTTTGTAAACATTTTAGTACAATGGGAGAAAGATAGGAATTTGAAATGTAATTAAAAGTCGATTGGTATAATTACTCATTTATTTTAACTTTTAGTACAAAATAAAACTAGTACACAGGGATACATCTCAAACCTAGCATTGTTGAAAGTCCGAGGCTTACGACAATAAGTCTTCTCATTTGTACTATTTTAGACACTAACGTCACACCGAATAGCTCATTTCCCCCATAAAAAAGTTAGTAAAAACTGAATAATGTAATCACTCCTCAAGTCTATCTCGCAATATTAAATTGCCAATATACACCTACCCTACTACTGGTACTTTAGACCCAATTTACAAGCTATCTTATTTTACAAATACACAATTTTGAGGTTTGGAGCGGCATTGGTGAGTTTTACAGGCACAATCAAACCAGCGCACTCCAATGATTATAATACAACAAATGATCGTCACATACATTTATTTTATAAGTACAAACAAAACATTCTAAATGTGCGTCAAAAAGAAAAACATTTTAGGCCATCATAGTTCCTGACTACTACCAAATGTTTAATGTTGCTTTCAGTAATTGAATTATATCGATCATTTGTGTATTACAAACATATTATCTTAAAAATCTCATTCTTTTAACACATTTTTATCGGTCTTACATTATTACCATTGCTCATGTTTTTCATTAATTTACACTATTTCTTATTCGTTACAATATAATTTTGACAAAATCTTAAATCTAAATTTTTAATAGTGCACCAAACGGATATGGACATTCGTTTTAAACCATTTAAAACAACACAACATCAACATGCAAAAGATTTAACAAATTAGAATTATTATTTTATTCTATATTTTTTTTTTGTTATAAATCACTGAAAAAATATTACGTCATGCCCATACCGTATAAAATATTTGAACATTTAGGAGTTGATGAAAAGCAAGCGGCTTTTAATTCATTAATTTTAGGTAAAAAAATATGTATTTCAATAATTAACAGTTTATTGGTTCATATAAAATGGTTTTAATAAATCGAATTCTACACTATTTCTAATTAGGTATACAAAAGAAATACAAAAAATTATAAAACGTCCGTTAAATAGAACACATAGCCGGTTTCCTGATGATTTCGATTCTTAAGCACGTCTGCATCAACAACATTAAATAATATAAACAAAAAGAAAATTCTTTATCATTAATTAATTGATTCCATTAAAAAATGTGTCACACGTTATAAAAACAACGCAATCAATGTGTAAAGCCTTATTGCTAAAAGGCGGATATAATCTTTATGAGCGATATTATAAAAACATACGTCCATAAATTTTCGAAGTGTTTACGAATCTATCTGTATTTTTTTTAATTATTTTTATTTTAATATAAACACCTACGAAAACTCTGAATGTAATTAAACCCTGTTCTAGCGAGAACTAACTATATTCTTGAATAGTGGCTTGCATGTTCCTATCATCTATTATCATATATTATTAGTAAGGCATTTATTCAAACGGTATCCTATGCTCCATTGCATAATAAATCCACTACAAGTGAAACTTGTATGTTAAAATAAAAACATTATTTAATACGTACAACATGTACATGTAGATAGCATTCCCTCTATTATCCAGCAAATATTTAGTAAAATATGTCAAAAAGACGCCAATATCTCTTATGGAATATAACACTTAACGTATGCTTGCAATTTAGATTAAAATCTGAAGGTTGATTATCATTTAAAAATATTTCAAATTCACTTGCCGATAGTTTATTGTGACTCTTATTTCAACGAGACAAAACTATTCTATTAATTAAGATATTGCTTACATTTCGTTTGTCACCCTTCAGTTTTTAGTCATCGTTAACCAGTTTCATAAATGTAATTATACACGCATGCATATTAAAACTCCAATTGTTCATCGTAAAACATCAAACCTTTAAAGTAAACGGTAAACATTTTTGGCACAAAATACATATTTATAGTGTCACATACATGATTCTAGGAAACCAAATACTCTTGTATAAGATTGAATGAATATATAATATTAAGGCATCCTTTAATATTTTTAATTTTTCGGTTTGTTTGTTCATTGTGAGATGTGTTTAAATTATTTTATACTATAAACGTGTAAGAGCTTTGTTTCGTATATGCAACTACGTTTCGACATAGCAAAAATATTAACTTTACTCGAGGACCTAACTATTACGTAAAATGCGTTTACCTCGATTTCGAATAAGTTATTGAATTTCAACCACATGATTAATTATAAAAGTCTACTTATCACATATTCCACTTAATTAATTTTTACAAACGCCGCTGATTCATTTCAATAATTATTATATTGGTTCTGTTATTCCTATTGCACTTTTATTACTAATCAATATTCATAAGCTTCACTTTGCATTTGTAAAATCAAGATTTATTAAAGAATGTGCCATTAAGGCAGCGGTTATGAGCATGTTATGTGGCTATCTCGATTCTATCATTTAAATATATATCTGCTTTCCATTTAAATATTTTAGCATAATTATATTTACACAATTTATTTACTGAACCACTTCCACATTTGTGCCGAGATGTTCAAAAGAAATGATTACTATTATTCAGACTGAGCTCCACGTACACATCGAAAAAAAAAAACGAAACACAAAACAACAAAGAAAAATATTGAACGATCGATGCACGAATCGCCGCACCGTTACCGAAACTTGTATTTCGAAATCTAACACCTAAATGAACACATGAAATACAAATCCGTCGCGACGCGACAGTCGCTCCAAGAGACCTACTATTAAATAATTACAATTCTTAAACGTAAAATAAACTCAATAATATACATAATTACATTATATATTCAAAAAAAAAAATAGTAACAAATAATCAGCCGACATCGGTGAGGCGGCGGCGGCGGTCGCTAGGAGCCGCGGCGGTGTGAGAAGTGACACTCGGCGCAGCGCTAGAGCCGCGGGCGTCACATCGGCGGGCGCTCCCACTCCACGGCGGCGGGTGGCGGCGTGCCCGACGACCAGGCACCCCACCGCTCGCGGCGGAAGAAACGCTTCTTGAAGTGGTGCGGCGCCGGCGGGGACGGCGAGCGGCGGACCGGCGCAGGCTCGGCCGCCGGCGGCGCGCCCGGGGCGTCTCCCCCGCCCGTCTCTCCCGCCGGCGCGGTAGTGACGCCGTCTGCGGCGCCGCGGGCCGCCTCGCCGTGACCTATACCGGAGTCGGGAGAGGTGTTGCACGCCTCGTCGGACCTCCGCCGCTTGTCGTCCATGGCGGTGGAGGCGAACGATATGATCTGATCGAAGCGAAACGCTATCCGGTCCTGCCACTTGCTCTCCTCGACCTCCTCGCCGGCCTCGGCGTCGGGCGCGGCCGGCCGGGGCTCCGGCGGCTCGTCGACGAGCGGCGTGGAGGTGTTGGAGTGAGGGTCGGGCGCGGGCGAGCGCCGCCGGCCGGCCTCCTCCTGCCGGTCGCCGGCGGGCGCGGGCCCGTTCCGCCCACGCCAGTACTCCGACGCTAGAACTCGCGCTTGTAAACAGGCGGCTAGACCTGTCGAAATAAGCGTCGGTTATGGCACCTTGTCCGCAGCGTTAGGTTTTCTCTACGTTACAATGACAAGGTTCGTGTGTCCGAGCGCGCTCGTGAGTTCATACCCTCAAGCGGCTGGTGCGCGGCCGCAGGTTCGTGGTAGCGCGCGCTCATGTGGACGGCTGCGTTGATGATGCTCTGATTGGATATCTCTAGCGTGCGCTCGATCTCTCCGTTGACGAGGTCGCCGATGGTGCGAGCCCCTGGCGCCGCCAACCTCTCTTGTGATAGGTGCCGACGCAGTGCCAATTTCGCCGGAGACACCTGCAAAGGAATTTTAAAAAATATTTTAAGTTTTTCTTAATTCACAAAACTGACGTAATTAAAGGCCCTATAATATCTTTAAGAGCATAAATATGTGGCTAAAAGTAGTTCGTGTAAAAAAATTAACAATAATCAGACTAAAAATCCTTTAAGGATATCTCAAAACATAGTTGGTATTTAATATACATATACTAAATACAGTGGATTCCATTTATAACAACCACAGTTGTATTAATGTTTTGATTATCTAACCTAACCTAACCATGAATTTTAAGCACTTTTCGTAAAATATTATTTCGGTAATAGCAACTTCGTATATAAAGTGACCCACTTTCAGGTACGGTGATTTGTTTTTATGAACAATTTATGACCGATTCCTAGGTATCCTTACCGGATATTGCGACTGAGTTGGCAAAAAGCACAAGGATGCATGATTTGATAAATTTTCAACTTAAATACAACTCATTACGATTCTGAATTGATTCATTACGAATTGGAAAATCTGCCATTGGCGAAATTATTGTCGGCAGAAGCAGAACATTGACGTTAATAATGTATCACTACTAATAACTTGGCAGATAATTATTATTAAGTCTGTGTTTAGCACACAAGAACAGGAGGATGATGAAGAGGAAGGTGATTGCAATCTATGACATTCTAACAACTGGAAATGCATTATATGCCCTAATAACATTCAAAAAGTACTGTATTTTTGTAAACCCTAAAATTATTTTTATGTTGAAGGAATCACGAAAATAGAAAAAAATACAGCGGGCACAAAAAACTAAACTCAAACAGTGCACTATAAAATATTTTTCAATAACACTCGTGTCCAATACATAACAAATTAAATAAATAATAAATAAATATGTTCATATGTACATGGGTTTTTGTTATTTCGGATAGAGACCTCCGGATATGGCGAAGACATATAAGTGGTCCCTCCGACGTCGTTATAACCGAAATTCACTGTAATATATTATTAATTAATAAGGGTTATAAAATAGAAATAGTATATATAAATATTATACAATCATAACAGTCACATGACTATAATATGATGTAATAATCCAACGCCCACCAATAACAAATATCTTATGCAATATTTTCTTATATTTCATAAAGGTAATATGTTTATATGCATTCAATTTACTAACGAGTTAAGCGATAGTTAAGGGTAGTTTTTAATTCTTTTCGTCTATGAATAGATTTTAATTCCTTTATATTAAATATATGTTGGTCCATTATATTTTGTTAAGATTTCATGATTTCGTCATCCACTTTGAAATTTAGTAACTTGAGAAACGAATAAACTTGTTAATAATATAAAAGTTATTCAATTTATGGCGCCATCTAGTTTTTTTCATGTGATTTCTACAAACACAACTTTATAGTGTCTCCGGAACTAATAGACCAGTGCCGATAGCTTTTAAAACATAATTAAATTATAGAAGAATGAAACCCATTAGAAAAGGAGGGGAAAATTATAAAAAATTAGGGAAAAATAATTTACGGGAGATCTGAGGCCGGGAAGGGTACGGGCGTGGGTATTTAAGGGTAAAAAATGGGTTTTCTCGATTTTCAGAAAAACTAAGAGTCCTAATGAAATATGTTATATGGCAAGTTGTAGGTAATAAAAAGATCTAAAACTTTTGTATTTACACTTTTTTCACATAACCTCAAAAATTATGTGAAAAACTCAAAAAACCAAGTTTTTGGTTTTTTATTTTTATCTCTTACACAAAAACAATATTTTGTCACGGAATTTGGTGAAAACTTTTCTTTTGATGTTATAAATGCACTGTATTTTATTGGATTAAAAAAAATATTTTTTCAGCTTATTTTGAATAAATACCAAAAAACCAGCCTCATTTTCAATCGAAAAATGACCCGTCAGAATATTTTTTCAAAAATTTGGTATGTTTTCTGTTCGTTGAAATCTCTATTTTCCGATAGCGAAGAAATAAATAGAAGTTTCTTACTTGCAGTACCATTTTTGGATAAAATAATCATGTTTGGAAAATGCTCTTTCAATTTATTTTTAATAGTTTTAGCAGCTTAATGTCAATTTTCTGTAAATTTCCTAAAAGTCGGACTATGTGGAGAACTTCCAGAGTACACAACTATTAAAAATAATTTAGAAAGAGCATTTTCAAAACGATGTCGAGTGTCATTTCATTAAAACAGACAGGATTATTTTATCCAAAAATGGTACTGTAAGTAAGAAACTTATATTTTTTTCTTCACCATCGGAATATAGAGATTTTAACAAATTGAAAACATACCAAATTTTTGAAAATAGCTGATATTTTGACGGGTGATTTTTCGACTGAAAATGAGGCTGATTTTTTGATATTCATTCAATATAAGCTGAAAAAATGAATATTTTTAATCAAATAAATTACAGTGTATTTGGGACATCAAAAGGTAAGTTTCCACTAAATTTCATGACAAAATATTGTTTTTTGTAAGAGATAAAAATAAAAAACCAAAAACTTGGTTTTTTGAGTTTTTCATATAATTTTTGAGGTTATGTGAAAAAAAGTGTAAATATAATATAAAGTTTTAGATCTTTTTATTATCTGTAACTTTGCCATATACCATTTTTCATTAGGACTCTTAGTTTTTCCGGAAATCGAGAAAACCCACTTTTTACCCTTAAATACCCACGCCCGTACCCTTCCCGACTTCAGATCGCCCGTAAATTATTTTTCCCTTATTTTTTATAATATTCCCCTCCTTTTCTAATGGGTTTCTTTCTTCTATTATTTATTTTCACTTTTCATCATTTTTAGATTCATCTGCATTGGCCTATAAGGGGGATTTTTCTCTTTATTAATCGAATAATGACGTTACGTTAGGCACTTAGGATATACTTCTTCATTTTTAAAGAATGCATTCTAAGTAAGATATAAATGAAGAATACTCACAAATAGTTTTGTTATAATGAAATTTCCGACAGCAACCGAGACTTTAGCTTTGAAATTAATTTTTGTATCTTAGTTATTCAATTGATATCACATATCGTGATAGGCCAACAATTAATCTATTCATTATTTAGCATCTTATGGTAAAAACTCAATAAAGAGGATATATCTTAACCTATACATTATGATTCAAACGGTTATGTGCACTTGTGAAGTACACAGAGATATATTCCAGAGCACTGTATGTATCACCTGTGTGTAATCAGGCTGCGCGGAGTGATGATGACGCATGTCCGGCGGCCGTGCTTCGTGGTGCGGGTGCGGCCGGGGCTCCCGCCGGTCGAAGCCGAAGCGTTCCCGCCGCATGTCCCGCACGTCCCTCGCGTCCCGTGCGTCACGAACGTCCCGTACGTCACGAGCGTCCCTCGCGTCCCGCACGTCCCGCAGGCCCCGCGCGTACGGCGACACGGCTGGCGGCGCGGCGGAGACGGCCGGCCTCGCTGCGTACGCGCCGAGCGTGCTGGACGTCACCGCTACGGGTCGGACGTACCCGTTAGCGTACGCTTGATTCGCTACTGCTTGACGAGGCTTTAGATACATGAAATATATATTATGTCTCAGACTGCGATCGTTACAATTCAATATTTAAACCACGCGTCCCGGTGTCGTTGTTAGGTGACGGCCCGTAAGGGATCGTCGTAATGTAAAATAGTTCACCTCTAGCCGCGACGCCTTCCTCTGTTCCTGGTCCTCGTTGAGGACGGACGTGATGATGCTCTTGAGTCGGTCTTCGAAGTTGATGACCTTCGGTGACTCCTGTACCTTGGCCACCACGTTGAGCGGCTTCTGGGACTTGACGGGTGAGTGTCGCGCCAGCGGCGGCGCGGCTCGAGCGACCGCCCGACCCTGCCTAGTGACATTATTCATATTATATAAGAATTGCATCCAATGTCTGAGACTCCACGATCCTAACGATGAGTTATACTTCAATCGTTTCTTATTTCCATGTCTATTACATACAAATATCTAAGCAGTCTCAGAGTTTTCTTAATTATGTTAATATTTCATAAAAATAATGAGAATGCGAGATATGAAATAAGAAAATAAACAAGCATATCAAAGGATCAAAGTCTCACTTACCGGATGTACCTCAAGCACAGCACGTTATATATTACGGGGACAAATTTTATAAATGTTAGAATACAAAACCTAGATTGGAAGTAATTTCATTATATACATTCAAACATATATCTAAAAAATCTTTTAATTTATCATTACACATAACTCTACTAGGAACATTATGGAGTATTATAAAAATATTTATATGATCACAAACAATGACTGAATGACTATGGATATGGAATTAATTGTAAATCAGTCTTTTGTAACTGTATTATAGCAACGAGTTATACAAAAATATACTTAGATATATAATAAAGGTTTGAACAAGGAAGTCTGTCTTACCTATGATCAACATGTCTTTCAGGATCTCTTATATACCCATTTACAATGACATTCGGTTTAGTAATCTTGCCAGCCTCGATCTGTCTGCCAGTCTCTAATATCTTTTGGGCCAGGATCTCTGGGTTTTGTTCTTCGATCTTCCCCACGTCCGGTACATCGGGCCATTCTTGTGAACGTGACCGATGTTCCCTTGATTTTCTCGGCTTAGAATTGACAGTGTGAGGTTTGACGGTGGCCACGGGTACAGTGGCAGTGGCCACCTTCTGTTGTTCGCTGGCTCGTTCCATTTGAATGATCTCGTTCTGCAAGTGTCCGACCTGTGCATGAAGCCGTTTCCTGTGCGCCAACGTCGCCGAGATCTCCTTCAATATACAATCGTGAGCTATACTCTGCGTGATCTCTACATCTGGGGGTATATGTCCCAGCTGCCTATACTTCTCTGTAATTTCAAAAGTTCGTTGTTTCACAAGCATCGCTTGTTCAGCCTCTATATTATTCACCTGTAAATTAAGACAAATTTTATATAAAGTTTGTGACCGGTGTACTATGTAACAGTCGAGTAACAGTTTCATCCAAACCTGAGCCTGTAATTTGCTTGCTTTGCTCTGTAACTCTTTGTGTCTCCCCACAATCTCTTTCGCCTTGGCCAGCAGGTCGACCGTATTGTTCGCGTGTATCCCCAACTCGCTCATCCGTGCCTTCAACAAAGCCACGCTGTCGCTAATTAATACGTTGATCTGTTTATCCAACTGAGATGCGCGAGACTTCAGTTTTTGATTTCTTTCCTGTACATTAATATTTCGTTATAGAGATCTTTGAATTTTTGCTATGATACTTAAAATAGATCATTATCGATATTCCTTTTTTTTATCATAGTGTAACATATACAAAAAATTAAAACAAAATACATATACATTCATAAAAAATATAAAATAGAATAAGTAAGACATATAATACTACTACTTCTACTAACAATTAACATTTAATTAATATGAAAGTACACTGTACATACTGAAGTAACAATCCATCCTATATAATGAATAAAGAGATTATATATGAATATTTTTTAAATATTTTAATAATTCTCTATTTTCATGTTTGTTTTATATATATATATGTGTTCTTATATTGTTTGCATAAGATGTGTGTCCAAATAAAGATTTTCTGATTTGATTTGAATAAGGAATAATATAAAATATAGAAACGCAATTAACCTTCTCTTTGTCGATTTGAGCTCGAATCTCTAGTGCGTAGTCGGGTGTGTTCATGCGGCGGATGAAGGCGAGGTACTGGTCGCGGAACATGTCGAGCAGCAGCTGCAGGGAGTAGGGCGCGTGCGGCGCGCGGGGGATGTCCAGCTCCGAGTGCAGGCGGTCGGCCGGCTGCAGCTGCACGCCCAGCGCTGACAGACGCTGCTCCACGCAGCCCGGGGGCGGCGCCGTCACCGCGCCCGCGTGCAGCGTGGACGCCAGAGTCGTGGAGTGCAGCAGGTCCAGCCCGGCGATGGCGGCCGGCGCGGCGCGGCGACGCTTGGCGCGGGCGGCACGACGACGCGCACCGCCGGCGCTGGCGCTGCGCTTGTTAGTAGTGCGCCGGTTCCGATCTACAATTTCATATATTTTAATTTATTAAGATTATCAGTTGTGTTCGTCGGATGTCTTCAAAATGTATACTGACTGGAGTGCGGCGAGGAGGCCCAGGGCGCCCCCCACTCTCTCGGCGCGGGCTCCGGTCCCGGCGGCTCGTCGGTGCCGCTGGATTCTTCCTCACTCTCGTCGCTGGAGCGCCGCACCACGCGCCTCTTGGCCGCCGCCGCTACGCGCGCTCGAGTTCGTCCGGCTTCACCCCTGATGGATGAAATCGTTACAGTCAATCTGGGTAACTTTGATTCATCGGGTAACTTTGACAGTGGGACCATGAACTAGTTACGATTATATTTTCGCAAGAAACCAACACTATTCATATAGTATGTTTATTTTAGATTTGCGATTTTAAACAAGTTTAAGTAAAAAAAGTAAGTTGTGAAAGTAAAAAATAGTCAAAACTTTTTTTCTGAACATAGCGCGCGAATTTAAGTTTATTTTAGGATGAATAACTTTTTGAATATTTTGTGATTTTGGTTGCTGATAAGGTAAGTGAGATGTTATATAGAGCCATTTGTGATTTTACTACCACATTTTCATGAAAAATTTGCATATAATTACGTCTTATTTTGAAATTTCATGCATAAATATGAAGATACGTATTTTGAACAGTACTGGGTAACTTTGACACTGTCAAAGTTACCCTTACATAGAAACTGAAATGGTGGAAGAAGAGGTGGTAGAAGAGGTGATTGAAGAATATTCTGTTAAAAATGGAGTTTTGCAACATGCACATCAAAATATGTTGAGTTCTCACCTGGAACAACAGTTATATTTAAAACAGAACGCACACTGTTTCCAGGAAAAGTGACAAGTTTCACATTCCCGTATTATACACTTGTTGTCATGAGTAGATCAACACAAGGTGGTTAGAAATGACCAGATAAAAGAGAAATTATTAAAATTAGATAAGATGATGTTGTATCTACAGTAGATGACAGTAAAATCAGTATAAAACAGCCTGGGCTCTACACAATTATTAATGACGATTTTCTCTATATGGAGTGGGGAAAATAGACAAGTTATGCTCAAGATTTTACAAAATGCTTGTTTGTTTTAATTATTTTTGCTTGTTTTCTTTTTAATTTGAATAAAAATGTTAAATTAAAGGAGTTTTTGATGGTGTTAAAAAGTGTGTGTAACATTGCCAAATGTTGTAGATTGATTTTTCATTTTTTTTTAATATAAGACAAAACTGTAAAGTGGTCGTTTTATTGCGTCACATGCATCCATTAGTTAATAAATATATACACCAATGTTACCCAGATTGATAAAAATAATACTTATAACTATTTTTTTATGCATGGCTCTGTGTGAGTGTGTCAAAGTTACCCAATGAGGGTAACTTTGACACTCACAGAATTGAGATTTTATACTATATTGGCATGTTTTATAAACTTTCCGTGAATGTCTAGAAACGGAAAGTAATACGAGAGCACTGATAAAATAAAAACACTCGAGTGATAGGTTTAATTTTTTTAAATATAGTATAATATATCACTCTTATCTGTCAAAGTTACCCAGATTGACTGTATTATCAATAATAAATCATTGACAGTTGCAATTCTTCGTGTGATGTGTATTAGTATAGTAACCTGATGGGTCTCGGACGGGCGACCTTCCTCCGTCTCTCTGGTAGCGAGCCGGTGCTGTGGTTACTGTTCCCGTTCAACAGGTCGGGTGTGGGTTGTCTCGTGGGAGGCGCGCTCACGTTCCTCTTCCCCTCGGCCTCCTCCTGGCAGTTCTGTAACGTCGCCAAGAGGCGTTCTACACATGCACACTACAAGCCACAAGCTACGGCCTACCATCGCGTCTCTCGACGACGCTCCTAGTTTAATTTTGATGATAGGAATTTCACTATTTTTCTTATGTAACATTTCTTTATGAATCCATTTTAAAATTAATGTCCAATAAAGTCGTTAAAGTATAGACGATAGTTCAGTGTAGATATATTATGTTAATAAGAATAAATAACATTTTCATTACAACATTAATTAACCTTATGCCGTACGCGGGACGTAATCAGCAATTTTATACTTTGCAATAAAGATATAAAATAATTATTAATTATTGTGTATTAAATATTTTAATGGAAGAGTTGCTACAACTGAGTGCTCTTAAAATAATAATAATAATTACATAACAAAGTTTATACGATACGATTGGAAACAGACCCTTTTGCTGACCTTGAGTTTCGGATTTTTCAGTCTTTGAAAGTATCTCTCCAATTTGGTCCTATCTATTATATGTAAATAGTATGATACGGGTTTGCCGGTCCAAGAAACGGAGCCTTTGAGCGGCGACATTTCGCTAACGTGCATGATTGTCCCAATGTCGCTCAGATTTCTATCCGTTATCCTAAAGTTGAGAGGGCAGAAGCTCTTAGACGAGACAATCTTAGCTCCATCCTTGAGGTCGGCAAACCTCTCTTTCAATTGATGGTCCACATGGGGACCGAATGCAAAATTATTGACGAACACAATGGTGGCGGAATTAATTTTCTCTCTATGCTCATCCATCAGGAAATCGCCTTTTATTAATTTATATTCTCCATACTTCTTCCCATACCATCTCATCCACATTCTAAAATGTAAATCCATACTCTGTAACAAATTACGTCACATATTATATATGACGAATACAATGTACTCATCTAATAAATTGTTAGTGTATGGGACACTATACCTCAGCATATTTGCTAGGCACTTCAGCTTTCTCGACTCCGAAACAGATGCGGCATGGTGTGGCGGCGGCCATCTGCAGCACCACCTGCCCCACGCCCGATCCCAAGTCAACGAACACATCCTCAGCTGATATATTTATCTGATCTATCATCTGACAGACTAGTTCGTACGACGTCTCTCCGTATACCTGGAACACATACGTCATACGTTAACCCATTGATATTATTACGTAGGCAGGTGTAGGTATATGTGAATAGATCTAGACGAAAATTTAAGTAGTACTCTGTGTAACCAATGCGTATATTGTTTAAATTATTAAGTTATTCAAAATTAATATCAATACATTTGTACATTGTGAACTCAAAATTTTGTTTACATATTACAATAAATTATATAGAGTGTAATTGTGTACAGTACAAACTAGTTAAAAAGTTAATATAATATATACCTCGGGCGAGAACGGTTCATATTGGTTAAGTTTGTCAGGATCTGAGACGGCTTGATTGTAGGTTTGTTGTAAAATATGTTTTAGAAGACCACGTGAGGGATATTTGTTTAAACGCTGAGCTGGCAGTGAAGTTCCTTTTTCCTGTAAGATGAAACTTTATTAAGAAAATTCGTATAGTGATAAATAAACAAAAAAATAATAATATAAAAAGAAGTAAGATTACTATATAATTCGGCTGAATGGAGCTTCGCTTTATAAAAATCCTTGGACAGTTAAAAAAAATCATCATGTAACCTTGACATTGTCCATGTTTCAAAATAATCATTAAATGGACTCGGCCGCATGTAGGAACAATGTAGTTAGCCTTGCAACCGATTACATTCAGATCAATTCTGAATAGTGCGATTCGTTTATTTTTTATACGTTAAAATATTATAGTAAACATTGGGATTTCCAGTTTTGATGCGGAAACCGGTGATAATGATGTTATAATTAATATGTTGTACGTTGTAGTATTTCGAATTTAGATTTCTACATATTATTGGATATTGTATATCTACAATAAAATGGGTGTAAGGATTTTTCAGTTCGCTTATTATTTGTTATATACCAGCGATTATCCGCGAAATCTTCCATGTCAAATTCGGCAGACTATATAGTTATTTAAGTAAACATTATCATATCTCATCACCAGAAAACCAGTTATCAGTCTCAATCTCAGTGTAGACGGACAATGAAATTAAAAGTTCTGGTTTTTCATTCAATAAGCTTTATTACCGCTTTCACCAATTTTGTGTCGCGATTTTGTCCTAAATAAAAACGTTCCTAATTATCTATATGCATATAACATTACTAAATTAAAAAAGTGTTATTTAAAATGGACTATATTATAGTCACACACGCTATAAATATGTAGACACAAGTATAGACACATATGTACATATAAATATGAATTATATTAAATCTATAGATACAAAATCTATCTATCAAAGTGTTGTACATTGTTATGAATGATAATGCAAACTGCAGAGCCGACTGGTGTGGGGGCAGACAAGCCCGGGCTGGTAGTGGGCGAGGCCCCAAGCCTTGTTTACGTTGTTCAGGCATTTCATTCACCGAATTAATCGTATTAATATCGAACTTACTTTCAATGTTACTAGAACGTTTTGTATAGTTTTTTTTTATGTTTGTTCTCAGCCAGTACTATTTTAACTTTGAAATTTTTAAATGAAAATTGATTCGGATTAAAGAAATAATGTAATTGGTTGTACAAATGTTTTTGTATTTACAAGGTACTCTATAATTTTACTTTTATTATATTAGTAAAATAAATAATTAAGAACGATAAAACTGCTTTTCTTAATGTAAGACTTTTTCTAAATAAAATAGTGGTGCAAATATTATTCAGTGTTTACGATCCTTAAAGTATAAAAATAATGATTGATGTCAAAATATAAAATCCCACAGATTACATTTTCGAATAGCATGCAAAAACATTTGATTGTGATAAAATTTATATATCTATATCAAATGCTGATAATGAAGCAACTCTAGCGCAACCAAAAAAAAAAGGGTCATTAACACTACGTGAGACATTCGCGCGGGCTTTAATATTGCGGTCGACGCCCCCAAAATACGACCAGCTACGTCTTTAAACGTCGAATAAATAGATTGTATTATATCTCAATACATTCATTTGTGACAAATTGTAACAACATCATCTCTAGCATTCGTTCCAAATGTATATATAGAGGATATTGTTTCACAGTATTATTACGATTGTCCAAATATTTCAACAATGAATGAAGGCTATCAACTTTAAAGACGCCTGTCCGTTAATATAAGGTCACTCAACTCAAAGATCGACGCTAATGTCGATGACTGAGAGTTTGTTATTACAATACTTTCACAAGCAACAATGTAATATAATTCTTTGCAAAGGTGATTGTAAGAATTATAAAAAATATATCTAATTATTTAATATTTATGATAAATGTGTTAACATTCACATCACTACGATTTTATTTTTTATACATTTTGTTTTTCTATTGATGTTTATAGGGCAGACGAAAAATAACAAACAGAATGAGATTTTTTATATAATTTATAATATAAATATTTAGGGATTGTGATCTAAGATTTACAATTAAATAGTTTCTGTCTGCTTCTTCCTCCGAATGGACGACTAAATTTGGCCTAGAGATATATTTAGTGTGTCAAAATATATATGTCAATCAATTGATAGATATATATTAAGTATATGTATAGGCTGCGTTATGTGACTTCATGCACAATACGACTGTTACGCCTCGATCCTACGGTAATTACATGAAATATAAGGATAAATTATAGCCTTTGTATTATTCTGATTTCTAAGCTGCGATTGTAAAAAGCAGAAAAATCCGATGTATTTTTACGTGAAAAATCAACAAAGGGGATATATTTATACATTTTCACAAACTTTTGCATTTATAACGTGAGTGGGATATATTAATGTAGGTAAATCGAAACCAACGCGAACAACATTTAAACGTTTGAATAAATGAGTACATATCACTAATTATGAATAATCTAGATACAGCAAAATGTATTCACTATGAGATGTATCATAGTCCAGTCATTATAGTAAGTTCACCTCGGAATTCGAGATACCCAGCTGTAAGTCTGTAAATAGTTGTATATTGACACCCTAAAAGTTGTCTCAAAACCTACATATGATAGGGTGTAAGCAACTATTAAATTTCAAGGTCAAAGGTCACAAAAATCTGTTTTTTGCGCTTTTTTTGGAAATATCTCATTTCCTATTGGTTTTTTGCTATTTGTATTTATTATCAATATTGTAGAATACTAAATTCTCTACAAATTTTGTTTCAAAAATTTTTTTATACGGTGTACCGTTTTCGAGATAGAGGGCGGAGATCATATTATCAAGTTCAAACTTGGTTAGGACATGATTTGGAACCCCAGGTATGGGGTTGGGCAATGCGAAATGATTTTCTGGAGCCTATCATGACAATTTTACCACCTGCTCCAGAAAATTTGCTAAATACAATTTTCTGCAACTGCAAAAGTGGTTGTGGTTCGCGATGCGGATGCAGGAAAGCGGGCTTGCATTGCTCTTTAGCTTGTGGCCAATGTAATGGGCAAGCTTGTCTCAATGCTCAACCATATCAGAGCGACATAAACGAAGATGGAACCTTTGATCCCGAAATCATGGAAGAACTTGAGACAAATGTCGTTGAAGACGATAATGAAGACCAGTTTGAAATTTACCAGCAGCCAGAAGACGACGATGAAGAGGAAGAAGATGTTTAAAATTATAAATTGTAGTTTTTGTACCCTTTATTCCATTTTTTTACTTTCAATAAAAAATAATTTATTCAATGATATTTTTAATAAAAAGATTAATTCATAATTTATTTGTTTTTTTTTCCATCATGTGAGAAGTTATTAATATGTATTAATTAGGTTAAAATTCACATATAATTCTTATATTTTCATTAACAATTCTGCAATTACATGGACAGATAAGTGTTGTTAAATAAATTAATACTGAATAAAAAGTGGATAAGTTAGGAAAAAAATGATAAAATATAATATAATAGTTAATAAAAATTGACAAATATTAATAATCATTGATTTATTGATAGTTCATCAAATATATATGGCGTTTTCGACCGGAGGCACCGGTTGACCTGAAGTGATGCGGTGACCGCGCGCTCTCCGCCCTCTATCTCGAAAACGGTACACCGTATAAAAAAAATTTTGAAACGAAATTTGTAGAGAATTTAGTATTCTACAATATTGATAATAAATACAAATAGCAAAAAACCCATAGGTAATGAGATATTTCCAAAAAAAGCGCAAAATACCGATTTTTGTGACCTTTGAACTTAAAATTTAATAGTTGCTTACACCCTACCATATGTAGGTTTTGAGACAACTTTAAGGGTGTCAATATACAACTATTTACAGACTTACAGCTGGGTATCTCGCATTCCGAGATTCTTACCTGATTTAAGCTTAAATGACTGGACTATCAATGAAACGGTCTTATAATTAAAATTATATTTATATCAGTTTGATTTATCGTCTCTATGGCGACGTTATTTAATTATTTAAAAGAATCTATTTCTTCTATTTATAAAACACTTACAAAAGATCATTTCATTTTCAAATACGTTCGACCTATTTGTTTAAAAAACAATAGAAAACACAATAGTTTAACTATTTAAAATTTATTTTATTTTTTGTTTTGTTTGAACTATAGTTCAGAAAAGCATAATTATACAGGAGCCACACTGAAGTAGAAATTATAAGCTACTGCCTTTAATTTAAACTATCTTAAGTGGAGCTATTTGTAAATCACGTTCAGTAAATCTTCATGTAATTACTTTATTAGCGGATAATTCAGAGCATAACCAATAAAAAATTTGCCTCAGAGGCTGACTCAAAAATTACTAACCAAAACTAAACATGCTCATCGCGAAATTCAATATTCACTACATGTATTTTTTTATGGTTGACGTTTATTGTTGCTTATTGTCTTAAACAATAGTTATAAAACAAACGTGTTATTTATAATCTGTTACCAATGACGTACATATTGACAATTATTAAAACGTCATAAAAAATATTTCAATTTTAAAAGTAAAACCTAATGCATTTACTTAAATATAAATATATCATTTGAAAGTAGTAATCGTTTACTTTATAGATGTTATGATTAAATTTAAATTGGAACCGAAGTGAAAATTTATAACTTCACAAAAACAAGACGTTTGAACAAAAGACCTTCAAGTTAAAACCTTCATTCGACCTATACAACGCGCAGCGCTATTCATTTATAGGTTATGACATAATTCTCAGTTTCACATAAATCTATCTAAAACAAACAAAATAATAAATTAAAAAATTAATATTTATGAAAATAAATGGATATACGTAAAATTATTATTGTTTATATTCAACATTATCTGATCATCAATATACTAAGATGTAATTGTGTGAAAAATTGATGTGCTTCACTGTATATAAATTACAAGTTAGAAGTTAAGTCGTTGAAGGTATTCCACTGTAAATTATACGATATAGGAGACTTATTATAACGTCACGTACGACACTATCGCATTTTGTTCCTA